CGTAAAGAAGTAAGTGAAACATCATTATCATTATTATCACGAACGACCTGCGATAAAACTTTGACATTACTTGAATCATGATCAATAGAAGCATTCGGACGAGTAATGAGGCGAGCCTCTCGTCTCCTCGTTCTTTCCTCGACAGTAAGCGATTTTCTGAGGAATACACCCTTGCCGGGGAAGCTGCGAAGAAGAGAGGCTTTACTAACAGCTATTCTCTGATATTTCGAAGAAGGTAGAACAACTTTGATAAGCCGACTCTTCCCAGGATACCACTTTCCTAGCCTACAAACCGCTACTGGTAGACAATCAATACATATTTAGATGCATAAGAATATTAACGACACTTTGAAAATCATATCTGACTCTTTCAAGACAACTGCTAGCATGTAACTCAGGAACGCCAGCAATGACTATCGAGCGTTTCCGCTCGACCCCCTCATAAGAGAAAGGTTTACGGGGAGTAGAATTGGAAACAGGAGAACTAAAAGTCATTTTCTGCTCATATCCAGTGATTTATGTTCAACAGTCCAAATGAGTATTTCATAGAAGCTCTATCACAAACATATATGGTCTGTGGGGAACTATTACAAAGGTTAGAAACCCTCACAAGATTTGTGTCCTGGAAGCATTGCAGAATTTTTTAACTTTTTAGCACGGCACGCGCGAGTCATAAATTTACCCTCAAGGGCTTTGAATGTTGTACGAATTGCTAATGCGTGCCTTGATTACGAAATTCCTATCCCTCATTGCTTCCAAACCCGAACATCTTTTCTAACACCCAGTTGTACAAACGGATAAAATAGCACTTTGGCTCTCTATTATAAAGGAAATATTGCTGAATTCAGTGAGCCACCGAAAGCATTTCATCCCGGAATAATGCCATAAATGAGTGCACCACTGGATCCATGGAATGCCAAACAAAAAGCAGCATGACGCTAATAAGGTTTTTCACGGGACGATCCGCTGGACGCTCTGGCTCACAGAAACTAATAGAGACAGCATTGGCATTCTCTTGAAGGAATCGGTGATCAGTGAGACCACAGCTGATAAAAGCGACGTGCTGGAGGCGATGCCACCTCATCCCGATCAGTCCGATGACATCGTACTTCTTCTTCCTACCTTGCAACATCAGATCTTCGATACACGCTCCCGACACAAGCGTTTGTGCATTGGAAGTGTAGGTCGTTAGTCGTTCTAGTTCATCTTAGTCGTTCTCTTCTAGGCATACTGTCATGACCCTGAGACTGTAGCAATCTTTCTCGAGCGGTGCAACCCAACGCTGTCATATTGAGGATCCCTCAAGTTTATGGGATAAGGCCTATTAACTTTGCTGTTGACATGTAGATACCCATGAGTAGCTTCCAGGTTCTGACATGGGGCTGGATGGACTATTGGTAATCAGGCAATGGATATCGGAAGCTCCCAGTCATTTGAATGCGAGCCTTGAATGGCTGAGTCGATGTGCATGAAACCTCATGCGCAGGCTCTCCATACTCGTAGGCGTGGGTAGGCCCTGCGAGATTAGATGAATTCAACTCGATCCTGTACAGCAGAAACGGGGAGTCCATACCCTGAATCCATCGGCATCTTTGGGCGAGTAATGATGCCTTCTGGCCAATATTTTCCCTTATCCACCATCTGAGGTCGCTCTAGGAAGCGTCGAGAAGAGAACCTGACATGTACAGAAAGGAAATCAAGTAAAAGTTGATTCCGAGAGTGAGCAGACTTCCTTCACACTCTTTTCCTCTGGGTTTTGACACCTACATCGCGCCCCTGGCTCTTTCTTGATAGCTATTCAAATACGCGTATCTCCAGCACGTGTCTATATCACCAACTAGAAACTTTATTATTCTGCTTGGGAAGACGTCGTCAGAGTACGCCGAAATTTTTTTAGGTGTTCTTCACGAAATCGAGATATTTTCATGTAGGCAACGTGTGACGCTCCTCACAGAAATAAGGCATGAAGTAAAGTAGGTTCAATTCTGTTCACGAAAGATATGTTTGAACCGGATTTTCTTTTCATGAGTATAAACTGTGGCTACAATCAACAGTGGCTTGCCCATCGCGGAACTCAAGCAGCCGGTATGAACAATGAGGATATTCATGAAATATGATATTAGCAGGTGGGAGCGAATGAGATCTGCTTGCTACTTTTCGTTGCATCAATGGATTGAACTCCATTCGAAAAGTGGAAAAACTGTCAATACTGCTTATGACATCACTGCCATGGAAACTGGACTGAACCGGATCATGCTCGCTGAATCTGACCAACTTATCAGCCACTTCTAACACATCAAGGTACTTGGTTGGATTGATGGGTGTTGCTACATCCACGGTTGAGACCTGAATATAGGTAATTTCAAAAGCAAGATGGTGGCAGAATTGTTTATTTGATCAGTCGAAGCCTCTGAAAATGTAAAGCCTAAAAATAGAATCCTCATTCTGCTCATTTCTGATGATGTAAAAGACTCTCTATAAGAATCACATTCAATCAAAAGTATTCGTGATTCCAAAATATTCTATTATGTACATTCATGAAAACACACAAAAAAGATAACATTTTATCCCGATAGATGGCTGGACTATTGTCATGTTAAGGCTCGGTTACTTCCCCACCTTTAGCATATTTTAGGTCCTACGACGAGCATATTGGAATCGAATGAATGGTGTACTCTGAAATGATAGACACTTCAGCCTTTGCTTTTCACTAGCGCTCTGTATCTGAATGCCCTTTAGTTCACTGTTCTCATTGTCAGAAGAACTCACTATGTCTCTATCTATCTCTTGAACTTGAACTATAGTAGTATTTGATATTCATTACCACGACGGGATTTTCAGGTTAAGATCATTCTCCACGAGTTGATAATTTCTGTGTGGAATAGGTATGCAGTACATGTTCACAGATTAAGTCTATCGCTCAAGTGCTTCATCTTTCTGCAGTTTTCACTCCGACAACTTCCTTCCTTTAGAACTTCTCTTCTTGTTTTCAGATTAACCAAGAATTGAGTTCTTCTACATCCATCCGAAGCCATGATAGGTTTGCAATCCGCGTAGGCAATCAAAAATTTATGACAGAGTAGGAGAATATAAATTTGATAAAGTATTTGAACCCCTAATCTTGTTACTGTATGTGCGTGAAGTTACCCTCTAATTGGCGTTCGTGGTGCAAGGGGTTTGCGGGCCTGACACCTGTGAGAGGGACGCCACTGACTAGGGTGACGACGAAGATAGAAACGTCTGGATGTTACCTTTCCCGAAGAAGGTCCCTAGTCCCATGTTAATTGGCTCAATCTTCTCTCTTATTGAGGAAGGTGGAGATCTGGAAATGAACTCCAAGAATGAGCGAAACGAGGCACTACACACAGTGCAAAGTATAGGCATACTGAAGAAGTCACTCCTTCATTTTCGGTGGTTGCTAGACCGTCTTCTTGTTTCAAGACTTGGGGATCCTGATAATGCAGTTAAGACACTCTATGACATACACTCTCCACAAAGGTGAGCGCGACGATGGATGTTCAGTGTCCTAAAAAGTCCTAATCCGAGATTGCTCGATTATAT